AACATACTTCTAAGACAGTAGCTTCTTTTCGTGGGATAATGGCCTCTTCACCTACATTCCTCAATGCTGAGTTGAAACTGGATGACGATTAGTGTTGGGCTGGGCCCATAATCCTGTTGGCAGTGGAGATAAAGGTAAATCATATTTTGCTTTCCTTAAATAACCCGCTGGGGGTGTTTCTGGCTAGATTTATATCTTGACAGAGCATCCTAAAGGTAAATAATTACGAACCTGGCGGTTCCAGAACCCCAAGGGAAGGCCGTCTGTATGGCTGGACCAAAGGGGGAAAGGCTATAGGTCACCGTGCTGGTGGTATCGGTAGCGGGCGAGGCTTGCCTCTGGACCTGTATTCCGTGTAAACCCATGGTATTGGTAGCGGTGCGTGCCACGGCCAGTCCGTGGTCATCACCAGTATTCCATGTTAAACCCTCAGCCGGTGGACTGCCCATGTAGTACTGGCGGGAGCAATTAACGACCGGTCAAACTGTCAGGTCAATATTTTTACCCATCCATGGCGAAACCTGAGAACCGGGAGTGGGGACCCCGCGCGCCCAGGCGTACCCGTGGACATAGAGGAAAACCTAAAAAGTGTGCCACTCCGGGTTGGGGCCCCGGAGTCGTAGAAAAAGTTAACCTACGATCTCCTCGGGGAAAAAGTTGACTGTGATCCTCCCCTTGCCTGATATGGGGGTTTTCAGCCTGGGTCCAGTCTGTGTAGTACCAAATAAAGGTGGGGCACGTACACTAGATTATTATTATTATTCCCTTAAATAAAGCTAAGACTAATCTAATAAAATTCATGCTTTATTCCGTAAATAAAAGAAGCTAACCCTGTAGCCTTTACATTTAAAAACCATTTGAGCAAAAGAAAACTAGCATAATGCTAACTCATAATACCAAGACATTCGCCAATACCAGCGTACATATATATAATACTCGGCCAACCCGCCGATCTTGACGTCATCAGCGACCACGTTAGCTTACCACCGATTGACCTCTGATTAAAATTTGCATAAGGAAAACTAAAGCCAACAACTTCATGCTAGACGCGTTACGGATGACGAAGAGGTTAAAAATATCTATGTTCTATCCCAAACTCTCACTAACTTTCACTTGAGACAAAGGTATGCACAGATCTTATACTTTTACTACTAGCCTCTCTTTCAACTTGACAGATTTTAAGTATCCGCCTATAGCAAATATATTACAATCACGAACGTCCAACATCTTATATGGAACTCAAATGCAAATCCAATTACATGAGAATTCAGGGAAGCATTATTTTAAAAACAGAAGAATAGATATTTAAATTCTATAACAAGGATATGAAGTTCAAATATAGAAAAGAATATAGAGTATCAAACATACTTGTAAGTTGTTGATTTGTCATCGAATAACTCTTCCCATTGTCTAATTCGTTCTTTCAACTGCTCATTCTCTACTTGAACTTTGGCTAGTGCAATACTTTTCTTTTCAGCTTGAACCAATTTTTCTTCAAGGCTCCACAATTTTTCTTGAATCAGTGGTACATTATTCTCCCTAAAATACATAATACTTGAGAAAATATTTCTATAGATATAAATCATTTATTTTATACCTCTGCAAATGCTTATGTAAAGTATTTATAAGAAAAATTAGTATACACCCTTCAATTCTTCTCATATCAGTTTTCAAACAGCAAAAGAAATGCATATTTCAATTTGTTTACTTAAACATTTTTACTGAAATTAGAAGGTAAAAATAGCAAATTTTAAATTCAATATAGTCATTTAGACATCAGCAGCATTAATGCTGGAAAATGAAACTACTATTTCAAACAGCTGCATACATATAATAAATATTGAAAAATTAATATTTTCATGTAACATAAAATGGAATGAAATAAATAAATATGAGTGAAACTTTCAGAAATATTCACTTGCATTGATTATAAATATACTTAATGCAATAATGCAATGTTCCCAGATGAAATCATAACTATATTATATATTTGTATTTGCATCTGAATAAAAAATCACGTACATAAAGTTATATAAATTTTACATATATAAAAATTCTTACTTGTAATTACTAAGCTCTTCTTTCAAAAGTTGATTTTCTTTTCGTAAATCAACAAGCAATTTCAAATCAGATTGTCGACTTGACACTATCAAAGAAGCATCTTTATCTGCTTCAATTTTATTTTCTAATGCCTAAAAGAATTGAGTGAGTATCATTATATACTATCTTTAGCTACATAAAAGAACAAATAAATTTTAAGAACTCAGTAATGTTAATGACAGAACAAACTTTTATTTTATCTTCAGCTTCCCTAAGCTCCTGCTGATAAGTGTCACAAAGTGCAATTTTTTCAGCCATTTCAGTATTTTTTCTGTAAAAATATATAAAAATGTGTTTTGATGCAACACTGACACACAGAAAATTAAAATAAAATTACTCCAAATTAATCTTCACTTGAAAAAATAATATAGTCAGCTTATAATATAATGACTCTCTAAGACCTAACAGAAAATTATGATATTGAATATACAGGGTGTACTGTAAATGTTGTGACAAACTTCTAGGGAAGGTAGGGCACATCATAAGGATTAAGAACTGCATAGGAACCCAATGCCTGAAAACGTCAGGGGTAAGAGGTAGAAGATGGGAAAAGAAGCAAGTCATTAATTTGAAATTAATTAATTTGAAACATTAATTGGACATGAATACAAATGGTGTATGATAGCTTGAATGTTTACAACAGATGCTCGAAGTTTGCACCAACATGCTTGACACTGAAGGACCATTTATTGCCAGACATGTTCAAACAGGGGAGTTTCTTTGACTGTAGCAACTGTGCAGGCAGTCTTGTCATGAGATCCATTTCAGACACAACAGGATCGTAATACACGACACTTTTGATGGCTGCCCACAAAAGGAGATCAAGGCTTGATAAATCCGGTGAGCGTGGGGGCCAGGGAACTGGTCCACCACGCTCAGGCCCGTGCCGACTATAGGTGCAGGGCCATGCGCCGCTGTGTCATAAAGGTGCCGGGCAGTCATTAAAACAAGCAGAACATTTTGCTGCCTGTCATAACAGGAAAATTCTAGCCTCTCGCTGACCTAATCCGACATAAGCGTCCTCATGGCCACGCTGGTAACCAGATTCGCCTGGGCTAACTATGTTCGGATGACGACTCCTGGAGGTCAACTGGGACTGCCAATCCCAGCGTACTGGATAGATCAATATCCAGACAGGTATGACTTCTAGGGTAAATAAACTGTCTTCACAGTGACAGGACCGTTGTTTAGTTGGTGGTAGGTTCAGGTTCGGCTGGGACCGGACGGGTACTTTCTTGTCTTCTCCTTTGTTGTGGGGGGGCATTACATGATTAGATATCGAAGGTTGCTGTTGGGAGATGGGCTCCTGTTGATCAAAACTGGGGGACGGTCGATCTCTAACTATGATCATTCTGTGTGAAACATTTAAGTCCTCCTGCGTACTTCCTCAGATGTCCTCCACAGGCTGGGGCGATTTAATCGTGTAAAGGGTGCCTTATGCATGCCAGGTCTGGATGCCTCTTCCTTCTGGTGCACTGCCTTATTTGAACGGCCCCCCAGGAGTTGATTCAGGTAAAACCTGGGATGCTACTGGTTATAATCTGTACTTAGGTAGTCTTGGCCACAGGGGTATAAATTCGGTCTTCATAAGACTCGCTGGACATCACAAGAGTCATCGCTGGCGATGGCAAGTTCAGGCTCGGCAGTACCATGTGGTACTGACTTGTCCATTCCGTTGTTTGTGGTGGAGCTATATAGTCAGATATTCATGGTTGTCCAGGGAGAAACACCCACCCCCCGGGTCTGTGGAGTCAGCAAGTTCAGCGAGTCTTTAGACTGCTTGAGGTTTTCAGGGGGTGCCTGGAGCTTCAAAACTGCATATTTATATTCTCCCTTGGTTCCCGCCTGAAACCAATGTCTGTTTACCATGACATAGGGTTAATAGGCCGGATTGGTGGCCCGGTCTGTCTGATAGTGTTTAAATGACTTTGTTCTGCTGCCCGTGGTTGGGACCCTTGGCAGATGTTTTTACCTTCCCTCCAGAACAGGGACGCGGAATCTGCATTGCTGAGTATTCTTGTTGAGTCGGCTTAGTCTTGGTTTGTCGGCTGAATCGATTGGTTAGTGGCCCTTGGATCTCCTCTAGGGGTTGGGGCATTTAACTGCTTTAAGACAGCCTCGAGCTTGCCAGGTCTGGGTGCTTTTCCTCCTAGTGCACTGTCTTATTTGAACGAAAGGTTATAACCAGGGCAGAGAAGTTCGTCTCTGGTGTTCTCTTATGTCTTAATGGACGTGAAATTACGGGATGTCGATGCGCATGTAAGGGTGGATGCCAGCACCGTAGACACGTTCGATAAATTGCTTAATCCTTATTTTGTGTATACTGTTGCAATCGCAGCAATTTGTGCAGCAGTTATCTTTTTTGTGATTTTCTTTTGCTCATTGCTTGTTGTTATTGTTATTTTACATAACAAAAGGTAAGCACAGTTACATATTATGTTAAACTTAGGTTAAATTTTTAATACAGATGAACAACGATTTCAGCATAATTACTCGAAAAATGTTTTCCTCTCATTTTTGAACCATTGTCATATTTTTGCCCACGTAAATTACTAATGTCAACTATTTTTCTCTAAATCTTTAACATAAATTTAGATCTGCTCTTGATGGCTGGCATCAGCGGTACAATCAAGCAAAATAGAAAAATACTCTGTCTGTTTGATCTTATTTAAAATAATTTGTTTTATATTATCCCATAATATGTTACTTGTTTCATTTTGAATTTTATCTCCAAGGTAATGAGGCATATTGTTTTGAGTTTCATTAATGTACAGACATGATAGGGGTAAATTTTGCGATCATTTCTATACACATTCAAAAAATTATTATTTCTTTCGAATTTTTTGTTTCTGAAACCCTGAAAGGCTAAATTTTATTTATATATAGTACAAGATCAGCTCAATATATGCCAAAAACTGCAGAAAGGATTAAATAATAAAAATGAAAGCAATATAACTAGTATAGATCTTGTGCATGAACTGTAGTTTTTGCAAACTTTTGGAAGATATGTAGCATCGCCGGTTGAAACTCTATATTGTTGCCAATAACAGAGAAGTGGACAGAAAAGAATTTTAGACATCAACACCAGAGCACTTTTTGTGCCCTACCTACCGTTCGAACCTTGTTGTAAACGACGCTGTGAACAACAACTTATTCAATGCAAACTTATGTAATTTCTTCTTCTTCTTCTTTTTTTTTAATTGTAAGAAAATAAACAGTGTTAAGCAGTATATTTGTTATCCAATGCGTTTAATATGTTATTTTGCTTCGCTTGCAATGTTATTTTTTATAATAATTCTTCAATAAATATGTTTGAGCACAAAATGTTTTCACATTTAGAAAAATTAAAAGAGAAAAAGTATTTTTTTTTTTATTGTTGTGTTAATAATACTTCACTTTAAGTGTTAACCATAAGCAGTTTCTCTTTAATATCGTCACTGCACAAAGGCGCTCGCTAGACATTTGCTCGACAGCGCCAATTAGGCTTAGCGCGGGCCTCACCACGCCCAGTCCATCGTTGCGGGAATGATCTGTTCAAATGGCTAAGAATATCCAGTCTAAAATAAGCAATGGCCCCATTATGTTGGAATCACATGTTGCACCTCACATTTGGTGAAATCACATGTTATGTTGGAATCACATGTTGCACCCAAGATTCAAATGATCCGTCAGTGTCGGGCATGTGTGGTGTCTGATGGTGAAAACTTCAAGCATCTGTTGATACATTCAAGCTGTTATACACCATTTGTATTCATGTCCAATAAATGTTTCAAATTAATCACTCTTGCTTCATTTCCCATCTTTTACCTTTGCTACCACTTAAACCTGACATTTAAGGGTATAGGTTCCTATGTAATTCTTAATCCTTATGATGTGCCCTAGCTCCTCTAAAAGTTTGTTGCAACATTTACGGTACACCCTGTATATTGTTTCTTGTATAGAATGCTACTCAAAGGGAAACCAAAATTATTTATCAGTATGTTATTCCATTAAAACTTTCAACAAAAAGACTTAAACAGGTATTTGAATATACATGTTGAGCTGTAGTTTAAAAAGCCAGTTGTCTATTAGTTAATTTGTTTTTGTCAAGAAGAATGTAGCTACTGATTCCCTGTTTTTCTGTTGCATTTTGAGAAAATCATTAAAAATTAAAATCTGCCTTCTACAGGACAGCACGTAGGGAAATGTTTTCAAAGCTCTGGAATCCTATCATGATACTCAAAACATTAAAATATGCCGGAATTTGGCAAAATGGCACAACAAAATGGAGAAATAGCTAAAATAGGTACTTAAATGAGGTGCCAAGTTCACAAAGGAGGTGATATAATTTGTTATGTTAAATGTCATTACGGAATTTTGACTGCTGGAATTATTGATGGAAGTTTTAATGAATTTGTTTGGTCAGATAATCTCAAAACTTTAGCCGATATTTATTTCTTCATATGTAGTATCAATAATTTGAATCAGTCAAATGTATAGCTAAAGGAAGAGGTTTATTGATTAACCGGTCTCTCAGGTAGTCCAGCAAACATTTTGAAATAATCTAAATTACTTCATTAGATATCCCTTTTTTCTTCACTTATTATTTACCTTTTACATATTTCTTTGAATCACTGTCAGAAAAAAAAATTGAGCAAAATTAGCTGCCTTTTTCTTCATTTCATAATTTACAGATGAGGTAGTGCCACATAAATTATATTAATTTTGCACAGACTCACCCATGTGAAGTATTTTCAGAAGTTCTATCTTATTTGTTAAGATACTATTTTGTTGTTGTTGTTTTGAGTTTTACACAATGAGAAGCACTTAAGAAGATAATATTCTTTGTAGTTATGTTTACTGTTGAATGTTAACAAGCCTTACTAGTAATTAATAGTGACAAAACAATTGATACAGCTGTTAGCATCCTCAAACATAGTGATAAAACCCTGCAGCAACTTCAAAAACATGAAATTGCTTTCATGGAAATTTATCCCTGATTAAAGACTGTGTTGGATTACTGACTACCAGAATTTTGATGCTCAACATGCATTTAGAAAATAAAAAGGGGGAAGGCGAGAGGAGTATAGTTAAATGATACCTTTTAAGACTTTCAATATACTCTTTGGATTTCTCAGCTTCAGTAGTCAACATATCAACTTTCAGTTCAAGTCTAAATGAAATTATGCAAAGTTAAGCATTATAAAAGAAATAGAGATTATTAAATATGCCAACACTTTCAATCTATATGCCAAAACTTCATGTAAAAAAGAAAATCAATTAGTATTAAAAAATTAATTTTAGTGTAAACTATTAATACAATAAAAACACAACAGCCTTTCATTAAAATAGAATACAAATAAAAATATATGGACAAAAAGGAAGCTTTCTTGTAGAACTTAAATATACAGAATCAACAAAAGTGCTAATAAAAAGATATTTTTGAATTGAGCTTTATTATGTTTCTCTGCTTTTGTATTATAACATGCTTAACACATTTTTACTTGAAAACTTGGCACAATCCATTGCAAATCTACAGCAAATCATTTTTAAAAAATTAAAATTTCATAGCAAAAGAATCAGAGTCATAATTAGAGGTGTGGGAGCCCTTGCTTATTGTTTCTCCCAAAATTAACCACTCCTTTTTCCCAGTTTAATAATTAAAGTAGTTTTCTTTGCTTTAATTGAACAAAAAAAAATGCTATTAAATGGCTTACTGATGTGTGCTATTATATGTTATTTTTTAATCCTGTTTGATCTTGTTAAGTCAAAAAGAGTATGGTATCTGAAATTTGATATCATGTACAGCATAATATGAAACATATGCAATATACTAATTCAGAAGTCAAACAACAAAAATCAGCGTTATATTTTCTAAATTTTCACAGAACTAGTTTCGATGGTTTTACCGAACCACCATCCTCAGCTGTAAAACCTCATTTTGAAGTTTAGACAGATATTAAGACATCAAAATTTCACAATTAAAATCTTAAAAAAAATCCCCAGTGATTAGAAGCAAAACAACTGTTAGCTCAGGACATAAAAGCCCTGCCCATCCAATACAGCCGGAGATCATCACTGCTATGTTGTAATTAGGGTCACAGACCAGACAGATGAGCGAGTGCTAATTCAAAGTGTCTGTTTTACAAATAGAGAATTGGCTATCAGTCAGTATGCCTATTCTGCCGAGGCGTTCAGCTAAGCAGTTGTGCCCTACAAGCAGTCTAAAATTAGCCACAGCCTCTCTACATGGCCTGCAACTCAATCATTCTTGATATTTTCCCACAGTTTACGCTTTAATTTAATTGATAATTCTGTGTTGTAAGCTGACATAAGATGCTCTCGAATACTTCTTCGAAGGGAATCCAAAGGAATAGAACTGTTCAATAAATAATGCATACTCCTCTTTGCCAAGATATCTGCTTTTTTATTACTATCAATATCTATATGGGATGATACCCACTGAAATTCTACTGCTTTACCATTTCTATTTAGTTCTCAGATATCTTGTTTTATTTTTGGCACAAGAGGAGGCTCAGAGTGGTGCTGGAGAGCTATTGCCTCTATGTCTGACTTAGAATCAACATGAATGACGGCTTTTGTCAAAAAACTCAATTCTAGATTCCAAACTATACATAGCCAAAAAGACTGCACAAAATTCTCCATCAAAGTTTGAAAAATGTTTACCCACTGGGATATACTGTGAAAAGGTTTACAATATACACCTGCACCAGCAGCACTATTCATTCTACAGGCACCTGTAAATATACATATCCATTCTGGTTCAGGATATTTATTGCCCAATAGTGACACAGCATTTGTTTTTAAAATAACTTGTGTGTCTTTTTTTCTGTTTTCACCCAGTTTTAGATTATAGGGTATTTAAAACGTCTCCAGCGGGTCTGCAAGCATATTAGTATTTTCGACATTGAGGTTTAAATCATCCAAAAGGCCTTCATAAATCTCGACTGGAGAAATTTGAGTTCTGAGGATGCCCACTTGTCTATTTTGCATTCAATCTGCACACCGAGATGCTTTCAGTCTAGCAACTGAGTAAACTGCCTGTTTCTTTAGCTCAGCAGCAATGGGTGGGTTTCAAGTACAGGACTATAAAGCTGCGATCAGAATTGACACTACCGCTTCTGTGATCAAGTGGAGAGCTTTTTTCTGAACCTTCTCCAGGACTTCCAACTTGGTCTGTGCATCTGAAACCAGACTTCCACTGCCATATTTAAGAACTGGTCTTATATAGGTGTTGTAAGTGAGATTTAGAGTGTTCTGAGTACAGCTTCATTTTGCAGTGTGTCTGATATGCTCTGAAAAATTTAACTTACTTTCCATTATAACAAGGTATTTTGCCCTGTAATTTCCATTTAGTTTTGTGGAGTTTAACATGTCTCAAAATAAAAAACTGATGCATAGTTTTTGATTAATTGATGATAATGTGATTGTCCATGGTCCATGATTAAAGGGTTTTCAGAGCTTTATTCATATTACTCTCAAGTTGCTGTTTCTGTCTTTGATAGTTTGATGCTAGCAAACATGCTCACTTGGATATCTAACTAAACATAAAAAGTGTTACTGTCACATCCTCTAGAAACTTTTGAACAAAATCAAATGCTTTGTTCTGGATGTCTTTTTCATTTTCTTTCATAAGAAATTTGGGTTAAATTACTTGGTAAGCATCAAGAACATTGTTTATACCTTAGAAACAATAAAACTGAGTTCATAAAGTATCCTTCATTCGATAAAATACAGTTACCCTAAAATAAGATTCTGGATTTTTTAATCACATGTCTGCATAATTCATCTTTTTTTTTTTTTTTTTTTTTTTCTCTTTAAATCCTACTGTGAAAAACTCTAAATTACTTAAAGCCTAAAAAATCTCCGAAATGACAAACACAAAAATCTCCAAATTTTCTTCCCATTTTATAAGCTAGGCATTCTCCAGTACTCCATATGCTAATAACAGATCTATGATTTCAGTTGCATAGACTTTGATATTATGTTTAGGAATACTAAAAATTTGCATTAACCCTCTGATTGCTCAATTTGCGGGCCAAAATCGCTTCTTCTTCTTCTTCTTTTCTTTTTTTTTTTTTTTTTTTTTTTTTTTTTTTCCCATATTTTGAATTTATATATATTGGAGAATTGAAAAATGCAATTTTTCTTTCTAGAAAATATTTTTTATATAGATTTTTATCATGAAAAACTAAATTGCCAGAAAAACCAATTTCAGATGTTATCACCAAAAAAAATCTTTTTTAAAATAAATTTCAGTCGAATTACAGTTAATTTATATTTATTGCATAATATAAAAAAGTAAAACGTATAAATTTAAGAAAATGTAAAGTGCTGAGGGAAAAATAGCTTAGAAATGCAGTTTAGTACGACAGATTTCAAAACAGGGGTCAAGGCAAAGTCCAACTTCATAGTCTTTGTACCAGATTCAATGAATCTAATTAATAAGCAATCTAATTATTAATCTAATCAATAAATCTAATTAATAATTCAATAATTTAATTAAATAATCAAGATAATCACTGAACGTTTTCTAGCAGCCATTTCTGTAAGAAAAAAGCGGCAAAAAGTGAAGTTTGAGCGCTAATATCACGTGCCTTCAAATGTCGCAATTTAGTGGACAACTAACGATATCTGTTAGCTAAAATGTAAACTAAACTCATAATGCTGTATATAATTTATTTCAATGGTTAAACAGAGGGAAAACGGGACGCGCTCCTCAACAAAGGAAGAAAAACTCTATGCCTGCGGAAATTGCGGGATGAGCAAAATTTGTTACATTTGAGTTGCCCGTGGAAACTGCGGGATGATCAGCCAGAGGGTTAAATAACTATGAGGAGGATAAATTTTTTTAGTTACACAATTTTTTTAGTTAGAAAAGTAAAAATATAAATATTATTAGATGTTAATTTTTTCAATTTTTTAAAGTAGAATCTCATATACAAAAATCAATATATTTTTTCCTCCTCATTCAGGGCCCCACACTGTCCAGTAGTAGTTACGACTCTGAAAAGAATATTAAATTCATTTTACCTCCCCAGTTCAGAACGCAGTTTTCGCACAGTTTCTGTTTTCTCACTTTTTAGCTGGAAAACGAAAAAAATACTTAATGATACATTAAGTTTTACATGCAGTTATATAAAATGTAGAGCTATTTTTTAAATTCCCTTACACAAGAAATGAAGAAAAAACTTAGACCTTTAAAAATTGGCAATCATGAGAATGATTAAATTATCATTCTCAAGATTAGATAGGAAGAATTTTATAAAATATTCAAAGAAATCAGTAACAAAGTTCATTCTTTTTAATTTTCACTTCAGTTTCTTTTGTCCGTGATTTAACTTTGCCATAAAGTTTAAAACTTCTAAAAATATATTATTAATAAAAAGCTATACACATTCATGTTAAATATAAAATAAATATCTTCTTTCAAAAACCATTTTTAAAAATACAGTACAAAATCTAAAATCCTAACTCGTTGGGACTTCAGTAATTCCAGATTTGGGATTTTTTCAAGATATTAGATCATCAGTTTAAATCTGGTAAGATGACACATAGAAATTATAAAAATAAAAAACATGAAATAATCAAGCATGTATGATCTTACCAGAGTCAACATTTGTAAAAAGAAAAGCACAATATTTATTTGTTTCCTTTAAAAATTTCCTTTAATTTATGTTGTTCAATGTGCTTTGTTTATTATGCTAATACTTTCTCTTTAATTTTTTAGAGGCATAATTTTTTGTTCAGTTACAAAACTCAATTGTTCAAATCCTGTAAATGCTATGTTGGAATTCCCCCTAAACTGAAAATCAAAATTCTTTCTCAACAAACTTTCTGTCATTTTCTTCATTAACGATAGCAATATTTTCTGGATTTAGAAACAAATTACAGTCAAAAGTTGTTAATCCGAACTCGTCGGGACTTCGGCGATTCCGGATTATAGAACATCAGTTTAAATCTCATAAGAGGGCATGCAGAAATTCTAAAATTAAAAATATGAAACCGTAATGTATGAAATAAAGAACAATTACGATCTAAAGGGTATCAAAATTTACAAAAAAAAAAAAAGCTTAATATTTATTTGTTTACTTTATTAAACATTTCTTTCAATGTAAGTTGTTTAAGTTGCTTCGTTTATGTGATGATAATACTTTCTCTTTAATTCTATAAAGAGACATAATTTCTTGTTCAGTTACAAAGTTCCGCTGTTCAAGTCCGTTAATTGCTGTGCCGAGAATACCGACTAACTTGTCAATCGAAATTTTTTCGTTTTCACTAACCTCTCTGTCACATTCTTCATGTCTTTATCCATTTTTCGCAGCAATTCCACTTTCTGTTTGTTGGACATCGAAACATACTTTCGTTTTGTAGATCCTTTGGAAGTTCCAGCATCGGAAATTCTATTTGACATAATCGAAAGTTCAAGTTTACTTTTATAAAATTGCTCTTACAGTCTGCAAAAAATAATAAGTGGGATCCAATTCGAAGATTATGGAACAATGCAATCATTAACATTAACTGAAATAGATAATTAGATAATTTTAGCTTACACCGTCCGTTATACATTAAACGCGCAGGCGAAAACGTATTCTGCACTTGTGCGCAGTAGTCAAGGTCTTACGCGCACGCATAAAACGCCTGTGCGCATGTGCCAACGCGGCGCATGCGCAGAAAGTTTTTAGCTTTGAGGTCCGGATTATAGATCATTCCGGATTATGAGTGTCCGAATTAACGACTTTTGACTGTACAAATTTGCCTATTCATTAGTTGATTGATAATTGAGGCATCATTTTCACAAGGAAAAATTTCTGTTTTAGCATCTCCATTTATTACCATTTACCTACATTTCTATCTAAATTCTATTTAAATGAAAAATTCTGCCTTCTACTTCATTCAAAATCTACATCAGAATAAGGTTATTGTTTTACCTAATTTTAAAATCATACTAGTTTAAGCCCGATCTGCGGCAAGGCTACTGTATAAGGCAAGTGCCAAATATGCTTTTATTTTGCAGACACTGCTACAGCTCCAAAGTAAATCTTTTTTCAATATAAATGAAAACTGAAACTCTGGTTTTGATAAGATACCTGTAATAATAATAGACTAAATATACTAAACTGGATCAAACTTGAAAGTTGAGGAGAGCACAATTAACTGAATCTAATTTTTATATAACCTAGTTCTTTTTCTTCTCCACCCTATTATGCCAAACCCCTTCCACCCCCCCCCCAAAAAAAAAACTTTAAAAAAAAAAAAAAAAAAAAAAAAAAAAAAACCTCTATGAATGAAATTCTACTCTAAACAAATATTTCTTAGCACTTCACTTACTGTTTAAATCAGACAGAAAAAGGTTGCCCCCTCTCCAAAACCAATAATTTTTAATGTGTGAAAGTAAATGAGAAATTAGTATTTTAACACTTGATTTTACTTGCAGTTTTGACCTACCATCTTACTGGTTGACATATTTTTCTCAATTTTGTGCTGCTACTCACTAAACAGAAATAGAAGGACCTTGGTTGCTGCTCGAGATCATATTCCAGCACTCTCTCTAGAAGCCACAACCTCCAAACCTGGATGCCAGCCTTCTTCTCCAGCCGAACTTACTCGTGTGCCTATCAGATCGTCTTTTCAAGATGCATTGACTTTATCTGAGCAAAAAGTTCCTTATTTTTTCAAGTTCTCTTAAGAGAATATCTGAGCAGGACTGTCTTAATGCATAGGCCCACTGGGCACTTGTCCAGGTTCAACAGGGTTCATAGCCACATTTTAGTTAAAAAAATAAGCACCTATAAGCACTTTTCAAGCACATTTTAAGAAAAAAAAATATGCACCTGTCTAATTACATCATACACAACTGCATAACCTTAAAAATTAGACTTGTAATTTAAAATATGAGAAAGAGAAATGCAGTATTTATTAAGAGAGAATAAGCATTACCTCAACCATGAAAAATAATTGTTTTTTTTTTTTTTTTTTTTTAAAATAACAGTTTAATTTACAGAACTAGTTTACAATGAGAGAAAAAAAAACTATTCAGAACTAAATTATATTACAAGATTTAATGATGAAATTTCAGTTCAATATAGAGAAAATAAATAATAATAAGGCATATTTATTGTATTCGCTTGGAACCTAATGATAAATACAATTTATTTTTCCACTCATATTGATATTTAAATAATTTAAATCTAAATTCTGAACATTTTCTAAATTTTCATTGTATATAAGTTTTCCCTTAACAGAGCAAGCAAAGTAATTTAAGTAAAAAAGAGGAACATTTCTGAAATCAGAAGACAGAAATTTGCTTCATGCAGTTATCCTTTAACTAAAAGCTTAACTAACCCGCATACTTGGAAATTGGCAAATATTGGACAGTCGAGCGTAACTTGAAAAAGAGGAGTAGAGGGGGATGTAGACTGTAGCCGCTCTTTACATTTTCCCGCTAAATAAATGCTTTTGACATTTCGATATGTGCATCATATAAAACATATATGCGCAGCATATAAACGGAACTAAAAAATATTCTGCTTAGCAAGCACAGTAAAACTCTTTTAAGTGTTCATAAACAAATCTCAGACTGAACATCAAAATTAAATTTTTAATTAATTTATCTCTGCAAAATATCGCAAACGTTATTGCGCAATACGTGAGCCGTGATATTACGCAATCGGAATCAACAGCTGCTGGTATTGGGAGAATAAATAACTAGGGTGTTTTTCATTCTAATTTTCAACAGATGGCGTTAAATTTCCGGAATAGAATCATTCTTCGCTTGGGTTGGTAGACCGCAGAACTTTTAGTCCTATTCAATCCAGATAGGAAAGTGACCAAAAAAGAAAGAAAAAAAAAAGGTCCGTTGCTTGTTTTGCAGCGAATATTCAAGATTTTGCGGAGAAATTATGACTATTTGATTACTTTCCCTTTATTTAGCCATTCCGAATATTATTCATTAGAAAGCTAATATGTGTTAAAACACAACCATTTTTGGAAGTTTATTATACTTCAGCAGTTACTGCAACTATGTTATTATAAACATTCATACATATACTCATAATATAAGCATAACGATCATAATAAACACGAATATGAACTGACCAAGCAGAACGAGAATGCAAATTTTTAAGATCTTGATAGAAATTCAAACGTGTGTAGTATTTGGGTGGGAGGAAAAGAATACTGAATGTACCAGAATTTTCTACTGCTTTCCCAATTCTTTGACCAATAGAACGACGGGCTCCTATTTGTACTCTTCATGCACACCAAAGGTTATGTTAATGCAGAGAAAGGGGGAAAAGTTGTTTCCGGGAGTATGATTCACCATCTGACATTCCATATTAGGAAGAATTGTTTATTTAGTTTCGGCTTTGGTACGGGGAAAAATAGCGCGTTTATTAAAAAAAAAAAGCACTAAAAGCAAAAAATAAGCACTAAAAACAAAAAAATAAGGGCTTTAAAGAAAAAGTAAGCACCTATAAGGGCCTTTATATTTTATTTTCAAATATAAGGACTTATAAGCACTTATAAGCACCGCTACGAACACTGTTCAAGAGCATAGGGGACCCACACTAATCCATTTACATATAATTTATACTTCATTTCTGTTAGTGGTTATAGATACCTCAGCACTAGCTCTCCCAATGCTGTTAAGATGACACCCAGGAATCTTCAACCCGTCAGATCATCCATGTGTTACGTTTTTTTCTGGCACCAGTTATTATGTTATTTTCTTCCTTCACGTTCGTACGGGGTTCGTGTAGATTTGGAGTGAATAACGACAACAGCACTTGATGGAATATTGAAACACACTTTATTGGCCGGTATTAATCAGGACAGCTCCAAAGTCACGTTTTACAGTCGTCGAAGACCTACTATACACTTGCTGGAACAATCAGCAACACAGCCTTCAGGTTATCAGGCTATAACGGTGGAGACAGCTTCACTGCAAAGCACCAGAGTATAGCTCCTGACTCTGCTCGGTCATTCTCGGAACTCCACGTACTCTGCACGCTACAACTATACAATACACTCGACAACCCACTCAGCACTTGCTGCCCAGCTGTCAACTCGATCGACTCCGCACGGA